ATAATTTTTTAAAAGACCTTTTAATATAGTAGTATAATAATCTAAATAATAGTATAAATTATTTAGATATAACCATCAATAGAACTGATAATAATTTAGAATACCAAAAATTTATAAAACCTATGCAAATACCAAGGGTACTTAATTATAAATCTAACATTCCACACGCTATGAAATTTAATATCTTTAAAATGTATATACATTTTTTTAGATTATACTACTATATTAAAAGGCCTTTTAAAAAATGATTTTAATGTCGAGTATTTATTCTACATAATATATATCTATTTGTTTATTTAATAGAATTAAAATTAGAATTAAATAAAGAATTTAGAATCAGATAAAATTAAAAATAGAACAAGTAAATTACAAAAATCAGGATATAGAAATAGAGCAAGTAATAAAAATGTTTTTACTTAATGGTTATACCAAAAAATTTTAGAAAAATGGTAAACTGGATTAATTGTAATAGCAATAAAACTAAAAATTTTGATAAAGATAAAAAATGTGTAAATTTAACATATGTACCAAAAATTTTTGAGAGTTAAAAATATATTAAAAGGGAAAGTTAATCTAATACCAAAAAAAACTAATTTATTTAAACGTTATTTATATCATAGGTCTGATAAAAAAAATTAATTTAATAGAAGAAAAAGAAATAGTTTATTCATTTAATTATGATTGTGATCCAGCAAAAACTTATATTGATGAAACAAAAAAGGAAATTGGGCATTAGAATAAAAGAAAACATACAAGCAATCAAAGGAAATTATGCAAATTCTGCTATTGCAAAACATTGTTATAATCAAGGATGCCAGATTGATATAAATACTATAAAAATTAAAAAGAAAGAGTCTAATAATTACAAAAGGCAATTATATGAACATATAAACATAAAAAAAGAAAGAAACAGAATAAATAATAATTTAGGGAGAATAATCCACCACTATACTTGATGACATTTACAAACAGCAAATGGTATAAATGATTGTTAAACTCACATTAACATTGATGTTGTAAGTTAATGGCAAATGGAATTATAATGTAAGTTAAAATTTATTGGTTGATATTGTAATCTTTCTTAAAAATTAATTAATTTATTGTACTTTTACTTTATACAGAAAAATGAATTTAAAAAATTGTTAATTTTGGAAATATAATCCACTTGTACAAAATATTAGGATACATTCTTACTGTAAGTCTTTTAAAAAAATGATTTTAATGTCGGGTATTTATTCTACATAATATCTTATTTGTTTATTTAGTTATTTTCAGTGGTTTGTAGTAATACTGCTGATGAGGGGCATGTTAGCCCGAAACATGTATATGTGTAGGTGTACAGAAAAAATAATACTACAGGTGAATTTTAATTAAAATTTTTGTTTTCTCTGAACTAACTGTCATTATTGTGCCAAATTTTTAGACACCAGTGTAACGTCCCACTAATCAGCAATGTCCGAGTAGACAATTAACAAATGAAATTATGTTATATCTATATTAATATTATAAAGAGGTAAAGTTTGTAAGTTTGAATGTAGGAGGTAATCTCCAAAACTACTCATCCAATTTCAAAAATTCTTTCACCAATATTTAGAATGGAACTTCAGGGTGGACATAGGCTGTATATTATTCCGTTCAAAATTCATATAAATTAAAAGATATCATCTAGGATTAAGGCTTTTATGTCCAACAGATGGCACTAACTCCGCAAGAACGACGACCCAAGTTTGCTTTTCTGTGAGGATGAACTAACGGAGATCATCTTCTATCTATCTATATAAATAAAAAAATAATGTTTGTTTGTTCCTACCAATTCCTTTGAAATTTTGACAAAACATTGCATTCGAATATGGACGTATTTTTATATAATATACATGTCGAAATTCCCCCCACTGGGGGGAGATGGACAGGATTAAGGGTTACCGTGAAGAACTCTGCTTCTATTTACACTATTTTAGATGCAGTTTTTTGCATTTTTGATTGCGTTTTAATAGGGTACATCAAGAGAATGTACATACACTAAGAAGGGATTTTTCAAAACATTTCCCCCACGGGGAAGTGTTATACATTTATAATAGATACATTTTGAGCCACAACAACGCATGGCAGGGTCTGCTAGAAGATTATATAGGGGCTACAAGGAGATTGTTAACAGTGAGAATCAAGGAACATAAAAATGACTTCAATAAATCCAACCAGGGCTGTGGAGTCGCATAAAAATCTACCGACTCCAACTCCGACCAGGGGTGGACATGTTACCGAAAGAGACCTGGAAATTCTGATGTCATCACGTGACATCAGAATAAAAGATTCAATAAATAAAGTTCTAATAAAGATACATAGAAAGCTTTTATTCCAGAGCTAAAAGACTCCTCTAAGTAATATATAGATATGTATTAGATAACTTTTACTTTTCCCTCTGTTATATATAACAGAGGGAAAGTGTAGCGCTCAGTCAAAAAATGACCCTTTCCAAATTTTTACATTTTTGGACTCGGGACACCTTGAAATTTCTAGATATGCAAAAGATTCAAGGTTTTTTTCTATATGTGTGGATGTTAGACTGTGGGGGGGTATTATTTTGTTCACTCTGTTTGAAGCCTAATAATTTCTGGGGTCAGAGTAGTTGAAATCGGAATCAGATGGTTTAACACAGGAGTTAATTATTAAGCGTCAAAGTGGTTGAACTAAATCGTGTCCCCATATACATTCTAATATTTTAGGCGAGAACATCTTAACGGGCTTTACTGTACTATTATAAAATGACAAAAAGTTTACTTTAAGGGTAGAGACAAATTTTTTTTTTTTAAATTTTGAACACTAATAACGAGTAAAATATTCATTAAGAGATATGACACATGACCACTTTTATGTCTTCACCCTGTCGACCTTTAATTAAGAACCAAAATTTAAATTTAATGCCCTTTTATACACAAGCCACAGTGCCACATTTCATTTCTTAAACTTAAGTTCTTTATTTTCTGTTCTGAAATATTAAACAATATCTCAGAACAGAAAATAAAGAAGTTAAACAAATTAGATGCCAACACATACACGCATGCAAATTTTTTCCCTGAATTTTTATTGACTTTTTGAGGGGTTCAAGAGGTCTCCAAACATGTAGATTTGCAAAAAAAAAAAACCTGGAGGGTCAAATTTGACACAATTCCAATACTTTTCCATTTTATATACATAAGAAGTTGGGAAGTAAAAAGGAGTCTGAGTCAGCAGATTTTTTGACGACTCTGACTAAAATACCAAAACTCCACGACTTCTGACTCCACAGCCCTAAATCCAACTATAGCACAGCATTAGCACTGTATGTATTGGGTGACTCCAATCAGTTTTTGTTCTATGGAACAATGCTAAAATAACACAAAGAGAGCAGAAAAAACAACAAATAAAATATGCAGAAACCTAGTATATCTACAAGCCTGTGTTGAAGGAGCAGGCAATTAATTTCAAGGACATTAATGTAATTCCAGGACTGTGGAAAGCTTTGCTGTATAGCACTAATAATTGATATTTAAATATTATTTTATTTATCACCGCAGCTACTTTTCCGTTATTTATATTTTAATTTCATATTTATATTCTTCTTTTCTGTGTTCGATTTTATTCTATGTTATGGTAACTGAAGAAGATCGTTAAGAAACGATCGAAAACGTTTTTACTTTATTAATTTTTATTAGCTGGATTATCAAAGGTGTGTTTTATTCATAGTATATTTATCCAGTTAGTTCGTTATCTAGAGAGCATGGATGGCAATGCCACTGTTTACTGAGTGGATCCAAGAACTTAATCACAACATGAAACAAGCTAATCAGATGATGATGATGTTTATTGATAATGCCACTAGCCATGTCGACATGAAGTTGTCACATGTCTGTCTCTGATTCTTACCACCTAATTTAACAAGTGATGTGTAGCCATTAGATAAGGGTTTTATTCAAATGATCAAATTACAATACAGGAAACAGTTGACTCAGAAGCTGGTTACTACAGCGAAAGCAGTGCAAGATGACTGTTGAATCTGTGAAAGTCACAACTGTCCTTGATGCAATATGCTGGATACATACTGCGTGGCAAGCTGTTCCTACTAAGACAATTAATAAATGTTTTGTGTATGCAAAATTCAGACCCACATTTGACCAAGAAATAGAAGGAGAACAAAAACAAGAAACAAGTCCACTGAAACAAAAAATTCAGGAAGTGAAAGCTTTGCCAAATGTTTTGGCATCAACAGTAGTCACAGATCCTACAGCACTATCATCATTTGATGATATACTAGAAATTCATAACAACAGGAGTGAAGATCATGAAACCATCTTAAAGAAACAATCCAAATGTCAACATTGATGTTGAAGATTCATCAAAGGATGATGATGATGATGAAGATGAAATGTGAAAAGAAATTCAATTGGCACCACCAAGCCATCAAGATGCACTGCACTACATCATTCATTTAAAACAGTAGATTCTAAATGGATTTAGAACAGTGCATTTGCACATGAATATGCTCAAATGGTGGAGGTGTTCTACATGAAATCATGTGTTGAAAAAATTATAACTGAATGTACTGTACAGTAAAAGGTCTGAAGCAATCCCTAATCACTGACTTTTTCCATGATGTGCAATAAAATATAATGTAAAAAAATTCTGCTGTAGTGTTAGAATACCTCCATTTTAATCAATGATTTTTTTTCTGAAGCAATATATAATTGCACTTATTAAATATGTGATCTGATCCTCTAAGTGGGGACACCACAATAACTGGGACACATTTTGCTTGCACCACAGGTGTCTCATTTGGAGAAGTTTTACTGTACACAAATGTATTGTGTGCACATATATAAGTAGAAAATTACTGTATTCTAAAGTTTAACTTTTTACACATTTATCTTATATATGTAATTTAACATTATATTAGTGATGTCATAAGAGATACATAAGTTAAAATATAAGTATTGAAATATGTTATAAAAATTAATACTACAAACCTATTTTTCCTTTCCATATGCTGTGCAATAAGATTTGAATAATAATTTTCTAAATGCACTTTTGCCTTAGTCGCTTTATCTAAGGTATGACCACTGAAGCGTATCTGCCCCCCATCTGTGGTAGCCATCCTCCGTGGACTACTCTTCTATAATAAAGTAAACAGATTATGATTATAAACATTATAGTTACTAATGTGAAGTTTTTAAATATTTGAACTATTAATTTTTAAAAATTTATGCAACTTCATAAAAGATAACATAATAATAAAAAGGTGCTATTTATATTATTTTTATATATTTTATTTTAGTTCCAGTAAGAATTTATTGTTTATAATAATTGCCTGAAATCAAACAGATCGAACAATATTACTGTACATAAACATAAAAAAATATATTTTTAATTTATATTCATATTAAATAAACAAGTTCAAAAATAGTTCAAAAATATGACTTCTTAATAAAAAATTTGTTGATTAAGTCATTGATAAAATATGTTTCATACATGTATCAATAACTGAAAATGAAAAATTTTTACAAAACATAATGAAAATTGAAGACAGATGCTCTCAGAAAACTCCTGAAAACATCAAAATTCAATTTCATTTTTTACTTGCAATAACTGTTATCAAATAATACCCAAAATAAACACATCTTCATAATTATAAAAAATCTGAAAATGCTTGCATTATATTTATCCATATTAATTACCATACAAATATTTAAAATGCAATAGCAAGGTTCATAAAAGACTGAACAAAATGATAATCTGTCCAGATGTAACTTAATTTGATTAACTTGAGCTTATTAGTTCATGTTTCTGTTGAAATCTCAAAATTTCTATAGATTCAAAATTAGAGAATTGTCTCACAGTCTATTCCAATCTGAAGTAAAAATGATGATCTTTCTACAGTATTAATGGCAATGTTATAAACTGTATCTGCATTATTGACACTCTTGTTTAAAGACCGATTAATAAACACTTTTAAAATTTACAATAGCCAGTGAAAATAAAAGTTATTTTTAAAAAATTAATTTTAAAAATCAACACCAGGTGAAAATACCATATCCAACTAAATTATCAGAAAAGTTAAAAAATACAGAAATATTTATTGATGATGCATGTTAATAATTAATTACAAAAATATCACACCTCTCGAAACCTCACTAGGGCCCAGTGTCAGATTTAAATAATTAACAAACATTTTCAGGTTTGTAGGTCTGATGATAACTTAAGTTAATCAAAAAAGACACAGTCTGTCCAAAAATATGTTTTGAAAACCACCATTTATTCTAATCATGTGTTCCAGAATTCCTTCAATGACCGGACCTTTCTTTAGAGGCTACTAGGCCGTCAAGTTAAAACATTCCTTTAAAAAACACACAAAAAATATCCAATTAAAGCAATAAAGTAAAAAATTGGAACTGGCAGATCTTACAAATGACTTGAGTTTTCATCTTGTCCAGTTAGGGAATTTCAAACCTTTATATCCACTTGTTGAGTGTGCTGTTAAACGTAGTTAAATCTTTAGTGTGTTTTTTAAGGAATGTTTTAACCTGATGGCCTAATAGCCTCTAAAGAAAGGTCCAGTGGTCGAAGGTATTCTGGAACACGTGATTAGAATAAATGGTGGTTTTCAAAAAGTATTTTTGGACAGACTGTGTCTTTTTTTTTTTATTAATTTTCAGGTTCCTTCAGAGCCCTGCTTCAGGTTTTTAGAATTCTATGAATTGAATATGTATAGAAAAACCTTTGTTGATTTCAAATTTAAAGTTAATTACTTAATTGTGATAACAGATCAATCTTTTATCAGCGAACGGAATCGAAACAGGAATCGGACAATTACTTAATACAGGTGCTTTCCTATTTACGAACGGGTTACGTTCCCGAGACTTTGTCCTAAGTTGAAAACTAGTAAAAACTAAGTAAAAAAGTACATTTGTATAAAGAGTAACCATGTATTGTTATTATTGTTTGAGCTTTCCGTGTACTTAATACAACACGTTACGCTCGATTTACCAACTCGTTACTGCTTAGAGCGGTGTTTCAGACGCGGTTTCTTTCACCTAACGCACTTGGTTTTATAATGTCCAGTTTAGTTTCCAGGGTAACAGGACGACGCTTCTCGTATTTATCTGCACTTTTGAAACACTAATCGGAAAAGTCGATAAAAATTGTAAACAATAGCGAAAAACGCCGTTACTCCAACCTCACCGACTCGTACGCCACACTGAGAGCGACGACAAAACCCGGGAATTTGTGCATAAAAAATCAAAGAACAAGTTGCTTAGCTTTCTCGGAAGCATTTAAAAAGTCGGCAGCGCATTCCGTTATGATATTTTATTTTAAAAAGCTTTTACATGTTTAGAAAGGCGGCGAAGAAGACGCGGAAACGCGCTTTCCACCGATTCGTCCATCTAAATATTTTGTAAAATAAAAGTTACTTTAACGCGGCCGTTAATCCTTGTAAATTCGGGGCCTTTGGCCTTGGGTCGACTAAACAAAAAAAGATGGCCGAGGTTAACCCACCGATAAAAATAGACGGGTGGAAGAAAAGTCCTGCCTTACATATTACATATTGTCTGTTTCGGAAAGGAAAAAATGTCTTTTCCTTTTTCGCCGATCGGAATAAAAATTCACGGGCCGGAAAAAACAATTTGAAATCGTAACGGTGTCCGTTCTTCCCGGCGTGCGGAACCGTAATTCCGTAAAGAACGAGTTACGGAGTGTACCACCCGGACGACGGTAGCACTTGCCTTATCCCTTATCGTAATTTACAGTGAATTATTTAATTTAATTTCCTTAAACTCTGACGTAGTTTATTAATTTCCCGACAGAAGGATATTATTCTTACTACGCGTCCGTTACATATGCACTTAACATTTCTCGGTATAGGCTATACACTACGTTCGGGCCGTACTTAACCCGCATGTAGTCCAAGTCCACTTTAAAAGATTAAATGAATACCGAAACGGGGCAAATTAAAAGGCGCAAAATTTCTTACTACCGTAAAATGAGTAACGTCTGCCGGTCGTTGGAGTTTCATTAATAACTTTCAGTTTGATTTTTTAATTTTCCATTCGACGGGCAAAACTTTATTAAAATTAAATGCGGCCCGACCCTTTCGGATATTTATTGCAAATTTCTTAGAAAAGCAAATTTTTCCGTACGGCCGAGGCGCATTGTAGAAACAAAGGAGAAAGGTGTAAACCGGCCGGGAAATGACCTAGCGGTAAGTTACGTTCGACCGACAACCCTTTTCGGTCGAGCAAACCGGCGAAAGACAAAAACCATTTACCTTTTTCCCGATAAAAGGGAGCGCGGTAGCCCGGACGCAAGACTGGGGTTAAATTAACTAAGGCACGGTCAAGTCGCGTATTGTCTTGGCCAATCTAAAAATCGAAACGTGCCCGAGTAGGGGAGGAAATGGTCTAATTCCAGTAGCTTATAACCGGTTGACGAGCCGTACAGAACAGCCGTTAAAACCCGGTTTCTCTTCCTATTAATTGTTTCTATTTTGATTAGCGCCTTTCGATCCTTTCGGACGGACCTAATCCGAAAGAAATCGAATGATAAAACCGAAATTAGCAAAATAAAAAAAAAATGGCGACACTTGCCAAGTTCTTACCAGGCCGGGGAAAACACTATTCGCAGTGGAAGATCGAGTTTTATATCCGCGTTTCGACAGTGGTCTAAATTACGCCATTGGAAAAATAAAGAACGAGTTTCTTTGTAAAGTTACACAATTGCCATTTTTCTCTTCTTGAACAAACGGTTTCTTATCGAAATAACTGCAGTTATCTTTTGTGTTTATTAATAGAATGTTTACCAATTTATTTCCACTGCCGGCAATTTCTTTCGCAGTCTTATCTCTATTACGCAGAAAGATTCGTTACCGTTCCACTCGTCGTGTTACACTTCAATTTATCCTTAAACCCTTTAATTTAACGCCATAATTAACGTAAATCGCCACGGATTAATTACGGCCCGGTCGTAACTAATAAGTGGTGGCTTTTTCCACCTAGCCCTTGCGGCATTAAAATTCTATTTTTAGCGCATTGCCTACATTTAATTATAGATTAGTATAACAACTTTATACCAACCTTTCGGTCGTTAACTATGCTACAAAATTAAAATCTCATTTTGTAAATTTAATTCAAACTTTCGAAATGTTTAGCCTATCCCTCGACTTTCGCGGAATCAAAGTTACGTTTAAAATAGTTTTCGCTTTACAATTAATAACGGTTACTCCGATACGACTGGGCGGATATTTCATCTTTACTTTAAAATTAACGTAAACGTCGGATAGACTGGCGTACGACTAGAAATTAATTAATATGAAGTTTTCGAATTGGGCCACCACTCGTCACGTGACGAAGTGGAATTTCCGGATCCGCTAAGCCGCTACCAGACGTAGTCGATATCCGGTCCGACCGGACGGAGACTGCGTCGACACGTACGTCACGGCCGCCGAAACGGTACTGCACCATTTTTAACTATTTCGCTTTTCTCGCGGGGATAAAAATTTTCCGTCGGCGGATGGAAATCGGGCAGAAACGGCGGAAGGAGTTTCCGTATTTTTCTTTTAATTCGAAAAGGGAAAAATCTAGTTTATTTACCCACCGCTAAGTTCATGGCTCCGAAGCCGCAACCGGGCAAACCACACCAGCCGGGAGAGGGGTCGGTCAGCTGTTCCTTTACTTCCTACACTCTATCGCACCTGCGCAGAAGGCAGGCCCGGCGGAAAGTCGGGCGCAGGCGCAACGTTAACGCAGGCGAAGGGGACGGTGGGTAAGGTAGATGGACCGAGGCGTCCGGCTTTCCAATCACTTGTGTGTGTGTGTGTGTGTGTAATCCGAAATTTTAACCCGTCTCCCGCCCGTTACTAGATTACGTACGGAGTAAGCCGGTAGACCCAACCGCGATCTACTCGATAAAGACTCGACGAAGGACGAAAGAAATTTATAAGCAGAGAATAAATCGGCCGAGGCGGCGAGGGATAGTGTTTCCCGGTACACTTAAACAAATTTAACTACTGTCTCGGAATTATAACTGGAAGGCTAACCGGGTCAAATAAGGCAAAGAAAAAGAAACGTCCGTCTCGTCCGTATAATAATAAATCGATTCTATAAATTTACTTTGAGGCGAATGAATTTTACAGAACCGTCGAGAACGGTAGTAATTTTCGAATTTATAATATTTAGCCAAAAATATTTAGTTTCCGTGTCAACAAAGCAAAGTTTCCGTTTTTTGTAAAATGACGCGAAATTTCGTAAATATTAGGAAAGAATGGCGCGGCCACTGTCGTACCTTTCCTGACCAAAAAATAATTGCTAGATTTGCGCCGTCGGGGGAACGTTCCGTGCCACCCGTCCTTCTTTTCTTCCGACCCAGTACGAGCGGGTGGAGGTCGAGACCCCTCGTTTAAACGAATTTTTTCCACCTTTCAGAGTTTCGTACTTTATACCGTTTATCCTTATTAGGGACTTTAGCCGTGTACTTCATCTCGACGACGAAATCAACTTGCGTTTTCCACCTTTTTCCACATTCTTCTTCGGCGGCGTTTCGAATATTAAATGCCTACGCATTTAATATCCGAACCGGCTCTGGTAATTACCGGGCCTGGACCACTCTCGCAAAATTGGGCGCCGGCCTTTTCCTAAGTCGCGTCCGTTACTTACGTTTTCTGAATATTTCGGGAGTTTGAGTAGCGGCGGGCAGGGCCACTCTTTTCGTACTCCCGATCGGCGGAAGTATTCAACGACGCTTTTATCCCGCCACAATCAGCCCGCGTTCGAGCCACGATTACTTACGTAAAAACACGGTTTGTACTCCCGTTTTTCCGCCATTTATAATTACCGCTCGCGCCTTCCATCTACAAAAATAATTCTTCAGTCGGTACAAATAAGATCCGGGCAAAGGTAAAGTTTAGCTGTGTCGCCTCGGTCTCTAAAACGAAATTTTTCCGGGCCACGTCCGGAAAAATTTTATATTTTTAATTATTACAAAATGGCAAAAAGCTTAATTTTCCGGGTAGGGATGAGTTTATAAAAAAATTATAAATAAAAATACCAAGTAAAATCGTCATTAAGTCCGACCCTACTGGAGATATACACGACCCCATTATCTCCCCGCCTCCTCGACCTTCAACCACCAAAACTTAATATCATCAGCCCCCTAATAAACAAACAACCATACCAAATTTCACAAATTTTCGACAAAAATTACGAGAGTTATGCTTCGAAGAGATTGAACAAAATCGTGCCAGTCACAAATAAACATCCATCCATACGTACAGTACATACATAAAAAAAATTGTTTTTTTTTCTGTTTTGCATTTCTTAACGTTTCGAAGTCCTCTCGGTCCAAAAAATGTAAAAATTTTGGTGGGTCATTTTTGACCGATGGGCATACTTTCCCTCTGTTATATGTAACAGGGCCGGGAAAGTAAAAATTCACATTTCAATCAAAACTGACCATCTAACAACAGAAAACAACGAGCAATTATTCGGCTGCAATTTGAAAAACTGTAAACATATAAATTCCCTCTGTCGACCGTCCGTCCGTCCGTTCTTAATCTCGTGAACGGAGTTAAACAGATAAAAGCCGAGACAATACATGGAAAGCTTAGGGATAGGATTCCCCCATTAACTGTGTATGAATTTCCAGTCTAGGCCAAAAGACACATTTCATTTCAAAAATTTTCCCCGGAAAGGTGTTAGATAGGTGACCGGCATGACTATCGTTAAAGTATGATGTACGGGGGCAACACACTAATAATTTGAGGTGGAAAGCATATGTTTAAAAAAAACTAATTAAATATATGATTAAAAATTGAAGCCAGGCATTGTGACCATGTCACAATAAATAATTGCTCGACTAAAATATACATACTCGATTTTAGTAGTGTCATTGCTTCGTAAATGATACTTTTCCAGTTAACAATAGAGTCATGCCGATCGTGTAGCAAACTCAGTTCTGGAAAAATTTTTGAATTAAAATAACGTGACTTCCGGTTCAAACGGGAAATTCGTATATGGTTAACTCGGGGTTTCCTGTCCCTAAGCATTCCATATCTAGTCTCGACTTTTATTTATCTAACTCGGTTCTCGAGATTAAGGAAGAAAGCCAGTAGGAATTTACAGGTCTGCGATTTTCAAATTGCAGGCCCAAAAACTACTAGACACGAAAGTTACAGCACGATTCCACTTCATTAATTAATAGGTTTACCCAAATCATTTATAGCCTAATGTATTTTCGTATATAGACAAAACTTCAAATTTCAATAATGCCTCGAGTTTAAAATTTCAAAATGAAGTAATCCTGGTATAACATCAAATGACAAGATGAATGGTTTAAAACATTAGATATATATTTGAGAATAAAAGTACAGTACTTGATAAAGGTAAACATTTTAACTTGCGATAATTACCAACGATAAACTTATTACTTAAATATTTAAAACAGTAAATTGCACTTAATATGGTAATAGACATCGAGCAACTTTTAAGTTTACCGAGAAATTACGGGCTGACTTGCGTCCTAGGAAACAGTACAGGTTGCTGCCCCATTTACGGATATAAAAATAACTGTTTTTATCTGTTTTAACTGATTAGCTGCATTGGCAAGTTTTAGACCAGTGTTTCTCAACCTCTAACGAATCGTCGCCCCCTTCAACGTAGTATCGCCCCCTTCAATAAAACCGTTACGTAGTATCGCCCCCTTCACTATAAAATTTCGATGCCGAGGGACAAGGCTAACGCCAAATTCGTACTGCATTGAATAGACTAGTGACTAGTATAATGTTATTTGTTTAATTATTGTACGATATAACGAATAAAATATCTAATTATTCTTAATATAATGTTTTACTATATCGCCCGGAAAATTGTTTTTCGCCCCCAAAATATAAATTGTTACTAATCCCTCAACATGGAAAAATGTCCACATGGGGGCGATATCACCCCCGTTGAGAAACACTGTTTTAGACGAAAGTAATGATTTACATTAGTATTTTGCCTTGATCTACATCGACAAAAATATCATAAAGCTCGGTAGAGGTAAGCCGTCAGGTAAGCGAGTCGAACGGCTTAAGAAAGCCAATCTCACTATACTGAAATTACAACACTTTCTGTCTATCCTAATTAACATTTTATTAAAAAACTAAAGACGCACGTCTCATTCGGTCAAAATACGAGTATCGTCACCTACTCGTATTTTGACCGAATTTTTTCCCGACCTACGTATCAAATTTCGTCGAGTTATGTCCATTCTTTCCCGAGATATCGATTTTTTTCATTTCACTTAAAATTCTTTTTTTCTCCTCCAGTCAAAACAGTTATTTTTCGCAAAATGTCTGCTTGGGACGCTCTCATCTTTATGTTCATAATTATAATTTTAATTTTTTTGATAAAATTTAAATTTTTAAATAACACAATATTGAACTTATTTAAATTATATTAGTCTATACTAATTTATTGTTCGAACTATGAATTAGACATGGAAAATCCAGTTCCGCTTCTGGAACCGTTGGAACTGATTCGAGTGAGAAACTATTCCGACGGAACGATTTCACGGAACTGCTTAGTCTGTTGGACTAGATCAGTGGTCTCCAAAGTAAGGTACGCGAACTGATACTGGGGGTACGCCAAGTTACCTTCAAAATATTGTGTGTGTGTGTGTGTGTCCTATACAGTCAAATTACTGTAATTCTAATTCAAAATGAAAATTTGTAATTTAATTTCAATGTATGTATATTGTTTAAAATAAATAAATAATAAATAATTTGATTTTTGACTACAAACACACACACATAGGCCTATATATAGCCTAATATTATATGAAGTACAACTTATAATTGTTTTCGTATTAATTCATATGTCTCTGTGTCCTTATCTCTTACATAATAAAATTGTATAATAAAGACTATTTTTCTGATTACTTCTCTTAAATTTGCAGAACCAAGTCACCGATATAATAAGCCCTGTTAATAAAATAATTCCTAGTAGACATCTTACATAATTATAATTATTTTCGTCTTAGGGTAAGCGATCAAAAAAGTTTGGAGATCATTGGACTAATGGTTCCATGGAATTATGATATAGGCCTAAGTTCTGTCGGAATTTCCGTTGGAGTCGGCGGTTTCTCATCATATCCGTCAAACTTGTCTATAACGGAACCCCAAGGGACCGAACAACTCTTCCGTAGTAGACAGGTTTCCGTATATACAGGTTACTACTATAGGTAACCCTCGATTAATGCGATTAATAAATTTCTCAATGTTACCGCGTACGCTGTACATCAAAATCGCACTAATCAAATACAGTGGTACCTGGGAACTCGACCGAACAATCACCACCCGCAAGAATAAATTTTCGGTTAATAATAAATAATTTTTAGCGTTTTTCTTTTCATTCATCGATAAAAAAGTTCTCTAAGATGAAAATGAGTAACCAATTTAATAAAATAAAACCTTACAGCTGCCTACCTTAGTCCGACAAATTATATTCAATTCGATTCATTTCACAAGTGGAAATCATCAGCATGTTTTACAATCATTTCAAGTGGATGAAGTGTTTCAACAATACAGTAAGACCCCGCTTAACGCTGTCTTAATTAACGCTGAATCCATATAACGCAGTCTGCTCGAAGATTAAAAAGAGCTCAAAATTTACGCCGATTCAAATTATCGCGGTATTTCACCGATTCGTATATAATACGATTATTCGCAAACATGAGCCAATC